ATTGTTATTTTAAATAATATATTTCAATCAACGATAACGGACGCCCCATCGGTTTATTGAATACTAAGTATTATCTGTACCGAGGCTTCTAAAACAAAGCACTTCTAAGGAAAATGTTATTTTCTTCCGTATAAAAGTTAAGCGAATAAAATTTGTCCATATTTTGTTTCAGTCAAACGCTTGGGCGCGAAGAGTGATCAAAGACTTACAAATATAACTTTAGTGCGAACATTGTTTTTTTTTTCCCGAAGTGCTTCGAATACTAGGGGCATATAAAGCGAGTTATTTCTTGAATTAAAATAACTAAGTAAAGAAATCAGTCGGTTAAATATTCATTGAAGTATTTGCACTAATAGAACAACCTTAACTTTCCTTAAATGGAAGAAATGAACTATTTTCCAAGCATTGTTATTTATGTGTGTTTGTCTAAAAACGGAATGCTTGTTTTTATACTTTTGCAAATAGAAAACTGTAATATATCCCAAACAATGAATGTGCCGATTAAAAATCACAAGCAATAAAAACGCCTCTTTTCAACTGAAAGGCATCGAATGTATGTGAATTATTTGGGTTGATCAAATCGAGTTCAGGCTGGAAATATGTATGTCGATTTATTATTTCATACCAACAAAAGCTCCCAATGCAGCTATAACCGAAACTGGTAGAAGTTTTTGTTTTATTTATTTAAAACAGTTTACATTACTAATGATAGGTACCTTTTTTTTGGTATCGGTATCTTCAAAAGATTCGTACCTTCTGTACGATGACTGTACGTGTGAGTGATGTAGCCGGAGCCCAATCCTCAAAAGATTGGCATCTGTAACCCTCGGGTGTAGAAGGTGTCCATGGGCGGCAGTATTCACTTAAAATCAGGTGAACCGCCACATAGATATTTCCAGACACATTTATATAAACGTTACTTAGTCCTAAACTAAGCAAAGTTTGTACTATGGGTGGTACTAGGTAACTGATCATCTGAGTGACTACTGTATAGTTAATAAAGATAGTAACTGAGCAGTCACAGAAATATAAATATCCATTTGCCATTAATAAAATATTAACGTACAATTTTAATTTGATTCCTATAAAAAGGCTTGAAGCTTCAAAACTGTAACCCATAGTCGAATTTCCGAATACAAGGGAAATACAATTGTCTCCTACTCTACTCCTTGCCGGGAGTACTTGATGTCCCTGATTTACGTAATCCTGAGCCAACGCCGAACAAAATGCATAAGAGCCTCATTGTCTCCGCCAAACAAAAGGAGGCTTCATTATTCCCATCTTGATTGGTCGATATGATACGGATAATACACAGTTATGCGTTATGACATAGGTTCATTTCCTTCTGGCGAAGCAAATTCAAGGTCAAAATTTCTTTATTCTCAGTTTAAGCTCTTATTGAATGCCATAAAAACTACCAGTGTTTTTATGTCATTCAATAAGAGCTTAAACTAAGAAAAGCTTAGACTGGTAGTTTTTAACTAGACCTGACCAGAGAAGACTCGGCAAGAAACTCTACGGTCTTTTTATCTCTTTTTTTGTTATACAATTATACAAACCTATTTCGGTATAAATTTATTTCATTTTATTTATTTTAATTTATTTATTTTGGATAACCAACAAAGTTACATGTACACAAAGTTAAATAAACAAAAATGTTATGGCGACAATTTACACGTAATCTCACTTATAGGTAGTAACAGGATTCAACAAAAGTATTTGTCGTACTCATGGTATAATCGTTTTTGACTAATCTAAGGCAAAAAAGAGTAACACAAAAATAAAAAAGTATTACAAACAACAAAAAATAAAAATAAAAAAAACAAGTCAACATTATTCTAAATGCGAAATCAATTTTCTTTCACTAGTGTTAATAATTTAAATATTTTAGCTTTAAAAGTATTTAAATTATCGGAGAAGCAATCGATGGAATTGTCTCACCTTCAAAATTCTTGGTATAGCCTGATTAGGCGAGGTAGGTTGGAGTGGTGGCCAAGGTTGGTTCTGTACTAATTGGGATGGAGTACTTGAATAGGATTCCGCGGTAAACGAGAGGGAGTTTTAAAACACACTTGGCTCAACAGTTCTGGGTTATCTATGGTCCCGTTAATGAGTTTGTGCAGGAATATCATGTCTGCTGCTTACGTCTGTCTGAGAGCGAGTTAAACTTAAGTGTTTTGAGTCGATTAGTAAAGGATACTCTTTTGTTGGGTCCAGAAAAGAATTATGTGATACGTCTTTGGGTGCTCTCTAATTGATATTTGTATATTTGGTAGCTGGGTTTCCAGATGACTGTACCTTCAAGTTTGCTTCCAACTAGGCAACTAGGCTTATGTAAAGAATATTTTTAGTTTAATTTTTTTTTAATTGTTTAGAGTGTCTGAATACAAAACCTAGCATCTTGCGCGCAGATCTGCAAATATTGTTATTATGGTCATTGTAACGTAGTTTTTTAGCGAGGGTTATTACCAGATCGCGCACAAAATCCAAATTCTGAAGCAAAAACTCAAAATGTAGCATAGTACACATTCTTGTCCCCAATGAATTCAAGGACATTATAAAAGGCCCCTGCCATTACGGTGGCTTTTACATTTTTTTTTCAAATTGTTTATACTTAGATGTCTGTGGATGTCACCTGTTTTATTATAAAAGTTAATGCATCTACCAAGAAACGACTTTTTGATTTTATATAGTCTAAGCCTCGGTACTTCCAGAGTGTCGTCACCACGTCCGCCGACGCGATGTGGAATGTCTAATGAATAAAGTAATTTTTTTTTGTCAACAGCTGGATATTATTACGTACATACATGATGTTCTCGAGTATGTACAGCGACGGCGTATAAAGAAGAAGGATTGCGTTTGACCTGTATTTATGTTCCGTCCATTCCGTAACTACGAAACGGGTAAAACTGATTTTGATGAACGATATGTCGTTAGATAAGGTTAGAAGCCGTCAAAATTTGAATATAATTTCATTAACCTGGCAACATACGTCCTGTCGAGGGGCATTTGTTGAATTAGCTGGATGAGCTTGAAAAAATGCGCTTAAAAATTCTTTTGTTATCTAAACCCAATAGAACTGATATATAGACACGGTAAGGACACGTTTCAACGTGTTCACCAATATATAAGCCGAAAACTGACTGGGCGTTCGAAGTTTATCCAAAGAAAACCACTAACAATACGATTTCGATTGGAAATATTAGTTCGTGAATTCGTTTGTATATGTCGTGCATAAATAGGTTTTCTGTTCAGATTTATTATACCTCTAGAAAACATTCTCGGTATTGTGCTTGGTGCTTGGCAATACTCATCCTGTTGCGTTTGGGACTTAATTAACTGAGTGAAGTTAAACACAAGAAAAAAAAACCTGGCTCTAATTATCAAACACAAGAACATAAAAAAAACCTGGCTCTAATCCCGCACATTTTCACTCCATCTATATATATACGAATAATTCAACTGTACGTGTATGAGGAAGCTATGCCACTGGTACTCTTCCTGATTTTAATGAAATTTTTTGTGAGTCTTCAGGTCGATTCGAGAATACACAAACTTATTAAAAAAGTTTGGGAAATTAGGATCTAAGACGTGTGTAGGCACAAAGTCCGTCAGGTCCGCTAGTGTAATCTAAAGACTAATGCTCATTTTGCTGGGGGAGGGCCACGCAAAAGCTTCGGCTGTTGCACGAATGGGCAGGCGCGACCGGGGAAGTACCACGGCCTCGCAGAACACCGGCGAAAAGTAAACTATTAACTGTATTTATTTTCGCGTTTTGACTGCTGAGTGAGGTAGCGGGTGCCCATTATTTTTAAGGTTATCAACGCGAAAATTGATATAGTCAAATTGGTGAACGATGGCGAAATGGTAAACGAACATGAGAGTTTCCCATAAAAAACTAAATATAAAACTTTGGAAGATATAATAGATACAAAGTAACAATTTTGAGATAGACATTAAGCAATATCTTATGGTTCATTAAATCTTGCCATAACTTTAAAGCAAAGTTGAAAAAATTAAAACTTATATATTCAAATTTAAAACATAAACGATACTTGGTTTAGTTTCAAAATTACGTCACTCAATCATTTTTATTGATTCTGTATCCTCGAATAATTAAAAATATAGTACTTTTGCGATGTATTTCATATACTCGGCACATCACCAGCATGAAATAATGTAGCATTTGTGTACCTTAAAACGACAATGTTGTTACTTTACCATTATTAATAAAACATTTCACTAATAACGGGCAATAACGGGATCATTACCGGAACATATTCAGCACACAATACAGATGCAACTCAAAGGCCATTAATGGAGGCGAGTCATTCGATTTGATCGAACGCCTGAATTGAATCGAGCCCTAAATGTTTTCGATTTATTATATCATACTGACAAATGTTTGTCAATGACTTCTTAATTGAAGTAATTGACAAACATATTTGTCATATTTATTCAATATTCAATTCATAATTATACAAAAACTAACTTAACGTATTAATTAAATACTTAATATGGAGTGTATAATTTAGCGTACATTCACATACGGTCGGCAACTATTTCTATAGATTAGGTGGACCCATATGCAGCATTGGCAACTTGGAGTACATTCTTATAAATGGATGTTAAAAGAAGCAGAAGCAGACAGCAATCATTTCTGTAAACGCACTGTTTAGTCGAAACATTGTCTTCTAAAGAAAGTCGCGTCCCCACTGAACTCTTTGTCATTGGATACTTTGTATCCTACTTATGCATACTATGGACTCTTCCATAGTATGCATAAGTAGGATACAAAGTATCCAATGACTACTTCTGTACTAATACTAAAAGAAAATGGAAAGTAATAAGTAAAGTTTTCCTCACTCTCCCCAGCTCAAATTACAAAAGAAATCGAAAGAGTCATATTTTAATAACTGTTTATTTACAGACTAAAAACATCGATACGCTGAGTGGGTTCCCAAAATAAATATTACAGCTTAGTCGTATGGATTCCTTCACCAGCGGTAGTTGAATATGGCCTTGCCGCCATAGTCGGAGGGGATCCCAGAAGTCTTCCCGTACGTGCCCAATACCGAGAAGTCGCCGTTCTTGCCAACCGGCCAGCTGCCACCCGCACCAGCATTAATCTGCGAGGATAGAAACGAATCAATTGGAGAATGCACAAGTATCTAACAGGCTCCAAGAAAATTTTAGGAAAACAGTAATAAACCAATTGAAGAATACACAAGTTGAAATGCAACCGACTCCAAGAAAACTTAACTAGACACAAATTTGAGAACCGGTTGTCATAAGAGTGTAAACAGTGTAATTACAACCGTCACCAACCACTACTCATGGACACTTGCAACACCCGCTGTTGAGTCACAACTGGCTTCCGCCTTTGAGGTAGGAATAGGATCTCTTCTTGAAGGCCCCTACTTCATTACTTACGGAAGTAGGCCCGTGTATTTGCTTGCTGACGTCTAGAGAAGCAGCCGCGTTGGAGTCGTGCCAGTTGAGCGCGCCCCCCAAGTGGCTGGAGTCGCCGTAGGGACCGAGAACCCTGGTCCCGTACGCCTGCCCGTCCAGCCGACCGCGGTGGTCATCGAAGAAGTTATGCTCGTAGCCCCCTTTACCCTAGGTGGTTGGAGGAGCATTTATTAATTGGGATGGAAACAAATTTAAACTGTGCTAATCTCTGCACTTAAGATTAAACATTAAAAATTGTACAAAAAGTACGAAAAGATTGTCGTCGCTGTGGGAATCGAACCCACGTCTTCGGCATTCGCGGTCTGACGCTTTAGCCACTAAGCTAAACGGCTGATTGCCACACCGACGAAAATCTTGACGTCTTTTATCTACATTGTTTTTTAGCTTACAAATGCTAGAAATGAAAAGCAAACCTTTTTTCTACCTCTATCTCCATCAGTACTGATCTAAAAATTAACGACATAATATCATTAAATTAAAAAAAAAATCATATAGGCGCTTGAACAAAATACAATGAAGAAATCCAATATGGACATACACAGGTTTACTCACAAACAAACCAGCGTCGTTCTGTCCCAGAGTGCCAAAGACTCGGCCATTTTCGGTTTTGTGATCGATCGTGACGTCACGGCGGTGCCTCGAGCCCATATACCACTCAGGGTAGCTGAGGACAAAGCGAAATATAATAATTACCGTAAAAAATTTGCCGAAAACTCTTAGTAGCCCATAATAATTTGCAGATTCAATATGGATACATTAAACAAGAATTCCGTATACACTCGGCAGGTCAATAAATACTAATCAAGGTCGTTTAAACGTAGTCTAAAGTAGTTAGTCATTCTAATTAATATTTTAATCATAAGCCCTACAAATAAAACCTTAATCGTCTTTTAAGATGTTTAAAGATCTAACAGTATTGGAACTTGGAGTCTCCGGATTCCAAGGTCCAATCAGGAATAGAATCCAATCCGAAATCAGTTCTACTGTGGTGGCCACACACAATTCGCTGTTGCATCAACGCAGACCAGTCCGCGTTTTCGTGTGGAGTGAAAGTGTTATACTTCTGCGTTTCGTCTGATGAATGAGATAGCTGTTCCACTTTATTAGAAGGTCGGCATCTGCGACCTTACGGGTGTTGCAATTGTCTATGGGTGGCGGTTACCACTTATCATCAGGGACTCTGTAGACACCATCTCACATAAAAAAGCGAAGACTTCAAAATCAAATAGAATATGTATATTGAGTGAGGTAGATTTTGAGGAAGTCCCTGACTTATTTATGCAGTTCAAGGTTGATATAATTTTAAAATCGGTTCACAAAACGGAATTCTGAGGTAACGAACATAATAGAACGAGTTGAGAGCGTCCTCCATATTTGAAGACCGCTGAAAAGGAGAAAAGCAATAATTGTCTCTTAAAATTTCTTACCTGTCCACGAGTAGCGGGATTCGTCGTTCGTAGTGCTGAGCCGTCGACGCAGAGACAATGCCGAGCAAAATGCATAAGAACCGCATTATCGCTGCAAACAAAAACGGGCCACGTTATTGTTGTAATGGCACTCGATATGATGCAGACGAAATGCGAGATTTCCGTGAAACAATTCGTCGTTAAGGCTGGAATACTCGATGTACTAAGTACTGAGACACTATACTGTGATAAGCACGCGGCAACTTCTGGGTGCATGATTGCAGACTCATCCGGGATCCACTTTCCACAATAGATTGGCGTGAAGGAGTGTTATGAGTTCGCTTTATGTCTGGTGAGTAAGGCCCGCTTTTTTAAAGGCTGGCAACACATCTGCAATACCTCAGGTATCGAGAATGTCAATGGGCGTTAGTTATCCCTTAACATCAGGTTCCGCCTGCTCGCTTGCAAACATTTCACATATGAAATGTTAACACATACATAACTTTCCTTATTTTATCTTAATTATCATATTTATATGAGTTTTTGAGTAATATTATAAGAATAGTTTGGCAACCTTGTTGCCGTTCGCCGTATCCCCCACATCCGCAACATTTATCTGTGGGTCACACAAATATTTGTCCTGAGTGGGAATCGTTAATGATCATTTCTTTTTTCACATATCCTCTAATTTAAACATCATAGTCTTATTTTGTCTATTAGTGTGTTCATTTTTTATAGGCTAGGTATCCTTAAGCACGACTGCATAAAGCTAACCTTTTTTGGGAAAAAACACCCACATCCGCAACATTTATCTGTGGGTCACACAAATATTTGTCCTGAGTGGGAATCGTTAATGATCACGACAAGTCCTCTTTAAACATTTATATTTTTCGTATTTTTGTCTTTTTTTTTACAGTATATAAGTACGATGGCATAAAGTAACGCTGTTTTGTAGAGACGCTTTACAATCACAGAATCGAACGGCGCTTAGTAAATAAGATAAAAAACTCAACTGCAATCTTATACCGGATTAAGACTAACAGTAAGTAAGACTAAAATTAATAGTAGTACTTACCAGTTAATTGCGGAATATAACGCTTCTGAGATCTTCAGCCTATGAAGAATTCGTACTGAGTAAAGCCTCGATGCTATGCCGGTATTTATTTGGACCGCGAGACTTCGGGACTTCCTTTGCGAAGCGATATTCTCCATACGTAGGTAATTCCCCTTTTCCCATCATCATATAATTGGCACAGTCAACTCTGTGAGCGTAGTTAATTGATAACGTTTGTTTGTCATTGTGACTTATTGATCCCAATATGCAAATATTCCCCGTAATGTTTGGCACTTTTTGTACTTGATAATATGAAATATATAATATAAACTAGCTGACCCGACAGACGTTGTCCTGTCTTAACGATGACTATATAATTCGAATTGGTATAATCAATAAGAAAATAGTGTGTTTATTATTCTAATGCTTTATGATATACAATATTCTTGGTTTTTTTTCTTGCGCGTATATAAATAGTTTTGTTGGTATTCCGACACGGGAACAGGCGACATATAACTGGCCATGTGAAATACATGGAAACAATATCTGAAAGAAGTTAAATTAGAAATAATATTATATGGTTGTTAAGTATTCTTAAATTTTCTAATTTTTAAATTTCGGCGCAATTTTTAATTTTTTTCTTTCATCAGAACATTCTACTGATAATAATAAAAACAACAAAAAAAGGGAAATCGGTCCAGCCGTTCACGCGTGATGGCGTGACTAAGGGAAATAGGGATTCATTTTTACATATCGATACCTTAATTGGCAAACAAGCTAACTCCATATGGACAAGTTTTACAGGAGACACTTAAAACTGTATAAAATTTTTTTTTAGACTACTTATGGGAAAATCAAAAATTTAGTTGGTAGATATTATCGTAAATTGTCATTTCTGATATTATAAAATCCATTATACATTTTCATTACCATACTACAGCGTTTTTTAGGAGTTATCCGTTTTTTCTTTCGTGCAAAAGTATGTGATCTGGGAGGGAGTTAGCTGGTTTTCTTGATAGATTTATTTTAAATAAAAATTTTCTTTTTCTTTTCAAGTGTACAACCAAAGCGTCTTAGGGTTTTAAAAATTGGTTATTACCAACCAGAAAAGAGTCAGGTTTATTGGTATCATCAAATCAAAAATCAATGGTTCTTATGAATAGTAATTCTACTGCTAGAATTACTTTATCAACTAAGAAATTGGTTAAAATCGTTGCAAACAAATCAGAACTCAGGCTTTGCCTTCATTCCATAGAAAGGAACACCCATCTCTAGTTTTCATATCATAAATACACACGTTTTGAAGGGTGGTATATAAAAGCGTTAACTTTTTTACATTTTTGAGGGTCTGTCCTATCTCTTTGCCTAATTGTATCTAAAATTTTTATAAAACAATCAACGTAAATTCGTTTTTTATCCCGTCATATTAAAAATTTATCAAATAATATTTTTCCGTCATCTTCACAAATATTATGACATAACACTATTTATATGATAACACTATTTCTCTTTTACTTACAGTAGTCTAGTTTCATGATTTTTTTGTAGTTCCTGTATCAAAGGACCGTCTAAACGTTATCCGATTTATCATTACTTGTAGAGAGGTGAGCTGGCTTAAAACTTAGAGGCATTTTCAAGATTGTATTTAAGTGATGGTGTATGGTCTTGGATTTGTCTTCATTAACAACAATTTCATATGTTTGCGTATACTCCATGGCAGACAGTTCATTTCCAATGAAATAAATGTTGTTATCAAATCATCATCATCATTTCAGCCTGTTTGAGTCCACTGCTGAACACAGGCCTCCCCCATAGACTGCCACGAAGTAAGATCCTGAGCCACCTGCATCCATCGACTTCCCGCACACTTGCACAAATAAATTCGATGAATTAGAAGCTACACTATCATGCCCAACCAAAGAGTCGTAGGGTTTTGAAAATTGGTTATTAAGAACCAGAAAAGAATCAGGTTTATTGGTATCATCAAATTTAATTTAAATTTTTAATAAACTTTAAAATGTATAACTTCCAACCGTAGCGAAATAAAGTAAGAACCAAGCCGGCCAACTCAAAGCCAATATAAAATTTTAGAATTGCTCAATTACCTAGCAATGTTTTGTAAGAAATAAAATAAGTATCCATACTGTGTATTAATGTTCAATTGTTTTTCAACGCTACCTTTCCTTTTGTTGCGTTTATATAATTTTTTTTCCAAATAACGTAGGGCGGTACCCGTACATGACTCGGACGCCATACAAACAAAGTACAAACAAAGCCAAAAAATATTTTTGACCAAAGGTGGAGTTAGCTGGTTTGCCAATTAAGGTATCGATATATAGATATGATCAGTATACATTTTTTCGGTCGTAGGGCCACGCAACATTGTTGCACGAATGGGCAGGTCCGTCCAGGTAAGTACCACGACCTCACAGAAGGCCGGCGTAAAGTAGAAATGTTACACTTCTGCGTTTCGTCTGGTGAGTGAGGTAGCTGGGGCCCACACTATTTAAAGGTGGCAACACATTTGCAACCCTACACGGTTATCACTTAACATCAGGTGATTTAACACCAGCTCGTTTGCCACTTTCTCACATAAAGAAAGAAAAAATATACATAATATATTATTCAGGTTATTAAAAGAAGTAACCCAACTTTTCTAATCTATTAAATTGTTTAAAATGGTCATTGTAGATTTTAAATCTAGTTAAATTTAGATTTGTTAATAGTCTAGGAAGAATGTACTCATGTGAAAACTATTCCATCTGATTTTTTTTATACCTCTGTAAGTTGTTATACTGATGATATAACGCATGTTGACAAGTGCAAACGGACATTTTTTTATATTCTTTACATTTTGAAATACGAATAAAAAATGTCCAATGACTTATCAAGATAAAGTTAATATTTTTGGAGATATGAATATTTAAAAGTTTGAAAAATCTCAAACATCACTCACTATGAAAAATATATAGATAAAATTAAAATATAAAGCGCAGTGCAGTAGTTAAGAAGAGGCTGCATTCAAAATTGGGAACGCCATATTATATACATATTCATAACATTATGTACATTTCCTAATACTGCTTCCATTTTTATTTTTTGAGTTCTTGACTTAGGTTATTTAAGTCAAAATAAGTTCTTATGAAAGTTGGCAGCTGTGTCATTCCCCTCCAACCGGGTTCCCGCCTTGACGTGGCGGAGGGGCTTAATAGCCGTGGCTTGGTCACCCACGGCGAAGCTGAGAGGAACCCACACTGGGCCGGCCTGTGGTGTAAGGCCGGCCCGAGAGGGCTGCTCCGAGTGGGCTCTTTGAGCCCACTCTGGATGCGTGCTGGAGGGTGCAGGGGACAGGTGGAGGGTGGTAGAGGTGGAGCCACTCTCCCTGTCTTCTGCTACGGAGGAGGAGTCGCGGGGGAAGAGGAGTGTCGGTATTGCGTTGGCCGTGCTCCCTATCCTCCGCGACTCGGCGGGGCTGCACCGCTGATGCAGTTGTGGTAGGGCCGCGGGGGGAGAGGAGTGTCGGTATTGCGGTGCGCCATTCTCCCTACCCTCCGCGGCCGAAACGTGGTGAGCGGCGGAGCCACAGACCAGGTCCGCCGCTGGGGGCTGGGAGGCTTGCTTGCATTAGCACTGGCTCTCCTGGCTCCCATGGCCCAGGTCTGCGAACTCGGGGGAGTCCGTTGGCCGTGAAAATGGGGCCGAGTAGGAAGACACGCTGATGAGTAGGCCCCTATCGTGGGGAAAGTACCGCGATTCCGAAGAAGACGGACGTGGAATGGAAGTATGGCACGTGATCTATGAGACATATTAATTTTATTGGTATTTGAAGTCGCTTTTGTTAATAAAATGTTGAGTATCCATATTAAGGATAATATTTGTTTGAGGCCAATGCACTGTACCCACCAAGTGTTGCCCTAATAGGTAGGTACCTCAGGGAAGGTACCGTTGCCCCACAGAAAACCGACGTGGAATGGAATGAAATAATTTTTCCTTCAGTCTGACAAAAAGGCAACCGAATTGAGGACCTCCTCTTCTTTCAAAGACGAGGAGGTCCTGAATTCGGTTGTTTTTAAAGGTTTACTAAGACTCCGCTGTCTCTCTGTGTGTCTGTCCGTCTGTCACCAGGCTGTATCTCATGAACCGTGATAGAAAGACTGTTAAAATTTTCACAGATGTTGTATTTCTGTTGCCGCTATAGCAACAAACCGCTATAACAACAATAAAGAACAGAACAAATATTGTTTAAATATACATACAACAGACATGATTTTTTGCGGAGTTGATAATGTTACAGAACCCTTCGTGCGCGAGTCCGACTCGCACTTGGCCGGTTTTATTTCTGTTTGTTATCTGAGAACGCCGTCATTTCTGGACCGATTTTCAAAATACTTCTTGCATTGGTTCGGTTCTCACGTAGTCGCTTAAAGGCATTGGACCTTGGATTCCGAAAATACATCAGGGAACATCAGGGAACTCCTCAAAATCAAATAGAAAACGTACAGCGAGTGAGATTTTTGAAATCGATTTAGTTTCTTGTTAATAAATGTTATACAGGTTGGTAACACATGTGTAACAATAATGTTGAAGGTGTCCATGGAAGAGCATTGCCACCTTTTCACATAAAAAAAATTCATTTGAATTTCCCTTAAAACAAACCGAATCCGCTAGAAAGTTATGAGCAAAGTACAGTAAGAATTAAAATCTCGTTCTTTTCAAATGAAACATCCTTTTGAGTCATCACGACAAATCGCCGTTTCCTCTTATCAGTCTTTCCCATTTGTATAAATGTTATCTGTCGTACGACCCACAGGTTAACTCGAAGGCGTTGTAAAGGTTAGAGGTTTACAATGTTATCGCTCGCACTGACTGATAAAAACTAATGGCCAGGTGTCGTAAGTCCAATTACGATCTAAAACGCGGGTTCAAAACTCAGCGGCAAGCGCGAAATAATTGTCTTTTTAGGGTTCCGTGCCCGAAGGGTAAAACGGGACATTATTACTAAGACTTCGCTGTCCGTCTGTGAGTTCGACTGTCATCAGGATGTATCTCATGAACCATGATAGTAAGACTGTTTAAATTTTCACAGATGTTGTATATTTCTGTTGCCGCTATAAGAAAAAATATTAAAGAACAGAACAAAAATTGTTTAAATGGGACTCCCATACAACAGACATGATTTATTGTAGAATTGATAATGGCACGGAACCCTTCGTGCGCGAGTCCGACTCGCACTTGGCCGGTTTTTTAGATTTCTTATCCATCGATATCTACCTGTCTCGCAGTAGAGAATGTGGGTTCGATCCTTACTACAAACCATTGTGATTAACAGTATTTAGGTAACTTTAAGTGTGTTGATCCACAACCTAGCACCCATAATACAAGCTTTGTTAATTTGGGACGTGACAACGTTTAAAATGTATGACCTAAACTGAAACATTTATTCATTTTTTATATCTCGCGCCTTTTTGCACACACGGTGTTAACGGATTTGGTACCAATCTCCTTTTGGGGCAGTCTTTAGGATGTATCAGTTTTCCCCTTCAGGTTAAAACAAGAGTTGAGTTGTACTAGTTAAAATACGTACTGAGTCTTAAGAGTCTCGTACTCGTACACGCGTTCCAAAGACTAGCTTCAGGAATATTTAGTAGCACGCGTCGTGTCACCAAAGTACAGAATTCCTATAGGCAGTTATTTAATTGAAATTTAACAAAAATTTGGAAGAAAACTGTAATTAATATTTTGTATTTTTGTATAATTCAAATTAAATTACAACTGGATCGATCGAACTCAAAATTGATTATACTTGTGTTGACTATAATTTTTTTATCAATTATTTTTTTAAGTGTTTATCGATTGAAAATTGTAGAGCTTAACTTTTTATGATTGGTGTTGGTACTAGTTTAGACAATGAATACTAAATTGAACAACAAATGTGTCATCTGAAAGATTTTCTATAGCAGATAACATTCTGTGTGACAAGAAATCCCCCTTGATGCCCGAGAGATGCAACAGCTGTCATGTATATAAGGAAGAGAAAAGGCCCAAGAATAGATCCCTGCGGAACACATATTTATTTGGGCCCCGCGAAATATCTTACCATACACGTCAACTCTGAATTTAGCGGCTCAAGTACGATGTCAGAATAGTGAGTGCGGAGCGTCTCTTATACCATAGTGGTGTAGTTTCCTAACCAGAGTATCATGCTGTACAAAATCAAAAGCTTTGGCTTAGTGACAGAATATACCTAAGGCGATTCTTCCCAGGCTTCTTCAATGTTTTTAACAAGCCTATATCTGGTGTTGGGGGACCACTAGTAAACTCATATTGTTTTTATGCAATAAATTGTGTACACAACTAATTTTTTCTGCAGTGTTTCTCATCTTCTTTCACATTTTTTACAATTTTTATATAAATATTTCAATCTATATTTTTCCTTGTTTCGACGAGGGAATTTTCAGGTCCTATATGTACTTTCTGTCATTTTAACGGAGGAATGAAACGAAGCGTTACATTACCCAATTCTTTATTTTCACTTCAAAAAAACCCTTAACGCTAGTTATTTACAATAGACTTATGTGTACAACGCTGTCGTCACTAGGTTAAAATTTTTTTTACACACTATACAACACGAATAGAATACAAATCGAGTTTCGGTAGAAAGTCAAAGTTTAAAAATGAAAGGTACCACATCACACATACGGAATCTACGACCACAGATGACATAATAAAAAAGACATGGAATGACGTACATCTTATAAAATCAAAACAGTATTATTTATACATACGATACCTAAGTAAACGCCAGGTGCTTTGTTTAAAAATCTTTTTTTATATTCAAATAGAAATTATTTCCTTTACAAGGAAACCACAACGCCCTCTACATATAAAAGCATTCCTTGACATGAAAGCAAAATTTTATTATGACCTTAATGTCACTGAATAAAAATGTTCTTCAATTGACGAATAAAATGATTACTGTATTCATCGCATGCTTATTTAGGAAACATTTATTGCAATAACTACGATGACCATTATAGAGGTTTCTCGTGAAGATTATCATCAAATAATTCGTTACAATCTGACTGTCTCAAACACTATGTTTTGAAATAAACAAAATACATCGCAATACAGAAAGAGCTTATTTCAAACGATTTCAATTACTACACATGCAAAAGAAACAAAAAATAAGTCTACTTAATGAACAAGTGAGTGAAATTGAAATTTCCTTTGGCAAAAATTTGAATTTTCGTTCGGCCATTAACCTTACAACATACGACGCGAACAAAGTTTAGTATTCTTTTAAATATGAGGAAATATATCTCTCAATATTATTTACAATACAACTTTTGGAATAGAAGATAATTTTGAAATGAAGGCGACTATTAAAATGGACAAAATAACGAAGTTATGCTAATTTCAAATGTAGCACGAGAATGTTAAATGATGAGAGAGTTAGTAAAAATATTCCGGCTAAATCAATCACCTATGAACACCACATAACAGTATTCCAAAAACGTATCGGCACTCATAATATGTTTTGTATTTAAAAAAAATCTATTAAATTCAATAAGATTTTAACCTACTTTGTACTGCGGCCTACTACGATATATTACGAAAAGAATATTATTTTGAATTTTATAATAATTGTAATAATTTGTAAGTTTAGTTATTTTTAGTTACCACGAGAAATGGATATGTGTGTTATACTATTTGAAATAATGAGGTTACTTTAAAATCGGATTTATCCATACATTTATTTACGACTACGACAAACTTTAATTTGCTTAATAATATAAACGGCACACATACAAAAGTTTTGTAGAAATATTAAACTAAGAAAATAACTATTAGGGGGCATGACCCCGGTTTAAAAAATCCTACGATTTATAAACAGTATCATCATTTACTTAAATTCAATAAGAGGCGCTCTTTCAGCAAAGTTCTGCTTAAATCAAATAAACTTTTCTATAAATATTACATGATCAATAACATTCGATATATGGTGCACACGAAATAAAATTCTCTAAAATGCAAAAAATGTTCACAAATAAAAACAAACGAAAAATCATTTATACCTCCCTTCATATCCCATCATGAATACCTCCCTTGGGTTTTCGATAAAACTGCTGCCTTTAAATATTGACATACAAACAAACATACAAAGTTAAGTGACATGATCAAATATCTGAAGCCAATAAACTATAGTTAAATCAAAACATTCGCATAATATTTCTATATAATAACATAGCACTGCCACGAATTAAGCCACTCGACTTCAAAAGGAATTACCAAAAGAAAAATTAAATTAACTTACGTATATTATTGCCAAACGTAGGAAATATAACAACATAATTCTACAGACACTAACTAATCTAAATAATCACACATGACAACACTACGTAGAGCTTTGTTGCCATCAAAAAAATCCTAGAAATGCGCAACCATAAATATACTTACATCTAAAATCACACTATCGCTATCTACAAGTGAGTGCAAACGACCCATATTGATGTACCGAAATTCCTCTCAGAAATTCAAGGAACGCGGTTTCAATGCGGTCTTCCTCAGATACTGGTGCGCTAATACGGTCAAATCAAGTTGGTCCTGTGTTTTGCCGCACGCGAATATCTCCCATTTATTGTCCGTCTGGAAATAAAATTAAACGCTCAGTTACAACGTCTCGTTTACACACACCATTTACGCGAACACAACACATCTATGTAAATAAAATGAAAGAGAAACTTAAATACAATAAATCAATGAGAACCGTTTCATAAAAAATAAAACATATTTTATCTATTTTTAGAAAACATCAACTGTGGAATAACATTATCCTGTGTTGCAAGGACGTTTTCTATACATAAATTTCACGTGGACAAACACCCAGATGAGAAACAATTATGTGTGCGTCACACAAATAGTTGTCCCGTGGTGAAATCGAACCCACAAACCTCGGCACTGAAGTCAATATCTTGGCAACTGCGCCAAGAAGTCATCAGAGTATAAAATATAATTATGTTTCCAAGCTTGTATGTATGTATGTACGTATGTATGTATGTTAACATACATAATGTTAGGCCGTGATATCTCGGTGTCCGGGCCCTCGCTTTTAATCCTATATACTCGAGCAATCCGATTCTAATCCCGGTGCTAATTTTAAGTGCTGATTTATCACGTGCTCAGTTATGAAGGAAAATATCGTGAAGAAGGCATATTTTCGAAAATATAACAATTATAACAAGATATGTGAAGTCCGCTAATCCGCAGTGTGGTCGCGGGATGGACTATTCCCTATCACCCTCTGTACCGAGGCCTTTGCCCAGCAGTGGGATATGTACAGGCTGATACTTTACATTATCCATATTATATTATAAATGCGAAAGTAACTCTGTCTGTCTGTCTCGCTTTCACGCCAAAACTACTGAACCGATTTAAAGGAAATTTTGGTACACAGATAGTAGAGTCTGAGAAAGGACATAGGCTATTTTTTAATTGGAAAAAGTTTTTAAAGACAGATATTTATTTAAAGGCTTCAACGCGAGCAAAGCCGCGGGCGAAAAGCTAGTTTACTATATATTTTCAAAGATAATATGACCATTTCTCTCCGTATGCATTCATTTTGTTTAATGCCAAAAGGCATGTTTTCGGTTAGCAATCCAAAAAGTTATTTTACTTGTGTCTGTGAGTATTTATGTATGTATACTGACCAGTATAAAGGCGGGCCTGTCCTCTTGTGCCTCCGCCGTATCCTGGTCGAATTTGATCGACCTCACTGCCGACTTCTTCAAGACCACGGGCTCGTCCGACAAACGTCTCACCTATAAAATATTGTATATTGTCATAGTGCATGTATACATATGACATAATATATACCTTATACAGGGTGGCTCTACTAAAGGTGCCCAAATTCACACAGGAGGTTCAGACGGTAGTACAATCGTAATGAAATAAAAAAAAAAAAACTTTTTTTTTTTTTTTTTTCAAAAAAAATTACCATTCCATTCCTTAGAAAACAGAACTTTAGTTGACAATGCGGTAGTCATTCATAAATGCGTCGTATACTTTTGAAACGAACTTGTGTGCGTGTTAGTTATGAATGATCGCGTGTAAAATAAATGAGTTGCCCATAAATCACGCACTTTATGAGATAAGTTCAAATTAATGTATTTAGTTAATTACGAGTTATTTTAAATATTTATCATTAAAAAATGAACATTTTTTTATGTGTAGAATTTAATAAAAAAATGGATACACTTAGAAAAGCCTCCCTTTATAGCTAGCACCTACACTTCTCCCTCACTAACTTTCCGGTAGGCTGGTAGAAACTGCCTTATACTACCAGTAAGCCCGCCGTTTGTACCAGTTAGAACAATAAAGTGTGGAAATAAATAAATAAATAAAATAGAAATTTTGAGTTCACGCCGTGATTGCTCCGTATCCGATCGCTAGCCTTTAATCTAGTATATCCGAGCAACCCGAGTTCGAATCCCGGTTCGGGCACCAATGAAATTTTTAGTTGCAACTTTAAGCGCTGACTTATCACTGGTGAGGTAAACGTAGGATACTTGAATAATTAAGAAATAATAGCAAACAAAATATTTCGTACATCGATCGGGTACACCCTAATACCCTCTATACTGAGGAAGCCTATGCCCAGCAGTGGAACATATACAGCGTGTCGTTACCACCGCGACAATAAATGAACACACATTTAGAAATTGTATTAAACATTTACATTCTTTAAACATCAATATTAAACCAGTTATTAAATTTTCCAAAACAAACAATTTTAGAACACCCTTACGTATAAAACTGTAACGTAAAGTTCATTTGTAAAGGTCACAAAGCATATGAATGGGTTGAATGAATTTAAAAGAGACAAAACATACTGTGAGAAGGAGAAGCTTGTAATGCGATGCTGTGACGCGAGTTGTATAAAGAGTCATACAGCAAATTCCATTGTTGCACAAATGGGCACGCTCGTTGAACAACCGCACAGACCTGACTGGCACAGACCAGTAAGTAAGGTAACCGGTAACTATTTTTAATGTAAGCATCCCATCTGTAATCTCGTAGGTGCCCTGTATCTCCCATGAACCGTGATAGTTAGACAATTTAAAGGTTAACAGATGATGTATTTCTGTTGCCGCTATAAGAACAAATACTAAAATGCAGAATAAAAAAATATTTAAATGGGGCTCCTATATAACAGACTAGAATATTATTTATATATAGAATATTTTTTGCCGTTTATAGATAATGGTACGGAATCCTTCGTACACGAGTCAGACTCGCACTTGGCCGGGATTTTTAATGTTGTATGAAAATTTTAATGTAACTTGGGACTGTGTCCTCAAGTCAAAATCATTTAACTTTTTTTCACAGAGGGGAAAAAAATTATTATTTTTCTTCTGTTACGCTCAAGAATAATAATAATAATCAACAATTATTTCTTGTGTACATAAGTGCACACACGTTTTCTTTCATAGTACTTAAAATTCCGTTTCTGTTTCCATTTCCACTAAGATTTTATTTTTATAATTATTTTCTCATCTGCATCACTATTCCACAGCATCATGACTATGGCCTATTGCTTTGCGGTTCCGTTATAAGCTTATAATTGATATGTAATTAAAAAAAAGTTTACGGAGAGCGATCATTTTAAAATTAGCATCACTGTATATATAATGAAAAAATATCATGTATGTACTAAAGCGTAAATCTCTTTCACTAAAGAGACTATCTAGTTTTTGTCCTAAACTCAGTTTTGTCTGACACACAACAAAATTCACAGCCTTTGTTACATCAAAGGCTGTGAATTTTGTTGTGTCCGAAAACATTACCGTTTGTTTTCTTCAATTCAAAACGGAATCTATGAAGTCCGTATTTCTCAAAATAGAGGAAAATCATATCAATTCTTCATTGAGTAATCCCCATCCACCCTTGTTTGCAACTTGGTGGAAAACTAAGATGATCCCTCATCTTAGTAGACAAGTTGTAATTGCTAATTCAATACAATATATTAAATATTTTTCCCGATTGCCAAAGGAGGGCAATGTTTTACGGGCGTATGTATGTATTCGTGTCTAATTCTTTAAATCTAATTCTAATGGATTTCAACATATGAGGTTGTCATTCATTAAATTCGACTCAGTTTTGGGAGTGTCATAGATTAGGTTGTATTATTCCAATACGGTTTCTGCGAAAAAAAGGAAAATAGTATTTGTATTGCAGTCAAGTTTTTTGTTTCATTTAATAATTTATATTTGTTCGGATTTCTTACGTGCAGAAATTTTACGTGATATAGTTATCTCTTAGTACTATCGATTCAAAATACGTTCGTCATTTTTATTTAATTTACTATTTTTTTTTCCTTTAAGCCATAATACTGAACTACACATACTTGTTTCAGAATTAAGTCTGTCTTACCTATCTATAACAGATCACTTAATGCCCTGTCTATATGATTGGTTTGAAAATCAAACTGTTTTATTAAAGAAGTCATACATTTTAGTACAGTGAAGTATTGAATTATAAATAATTGTCTTAGTAAAAAAAACGTGAAGTGCTTGTTAAATTCAATTTAAATGTTATTATTAGATTCATCCAAATATAAGCATGCTATTTAATTAAGAATTTTAACATGGTTTAATTGACTTAAATTATATATTTCAATAGTACTTTTAACTAATGCATGTGGAAAAACGACAAAAATTTACATGCATATTACTCATTTTAGTCATTTTTACAATGTTTTTAAAAAATTGTAAATCCTGCAACAAAAGCAATTCTGCCAATCATGCGTTTAGTGTGGAGGTGAGTAAAAGAAAATAAACAAAAAATCACGTGAATAATACATTTATTGAAATAAAAAATGACATTGGACCACTTTGGAATGGATATGGAATACAAACAATATTGACAGTGACTCTAAACTACAATTAAAAAGAAAATAATCAAATTACAAAAAAAACACATATCGTTGACAAAATTCCGCCATAATACCACAATAACTACGGCTACAGAATAAATTAAAACAATTCATAAAGAAAAAAAAACATAAATTAGTAACAAATAAAAAAAAAACAATTATTCAACAAGATATATAATATAAATATGTTTCTAAAATACGAGTGAAAAAAATGCAGATTCAACACTGGCCTGTCAATATTGTGATAGGATCGGAAAGGGCGGGAAAATGTGACGCAGAAGGACAAAGGCGTGGGACGTAATGTCATTTTATTATTTCAAATAAATTATTCTTAAGTATATAGCTGCCGATTTGCATTAAAATTGTTCATAGTTTTAACAATGAAAAAAAAAGTTATATTAGACAGATAATAAATAGTTTCGTAATTACATTACACATTCCACAACCAACGCGACTGAGAAGTCAAATTCATGACCAACAATCGTAAGAGAATGTTAATAATTTTACAGGCAAATTACAAAGCGAACGACTAAAGTTATTTTAATAGTTTTTATAATAAATAATATTAAGGGAAAGGATGAGTGAGCCAATTGGGGATTTGTTAGTGCTATTTCGAATTATTTTTTTCTCTTTTGTAAAAGGACGATTTGTTACAGCCGATTAGTATTAACCGCTTCTTAATAAACGTTTAATTATTATTATTTATTCCCGGCTAACGCGAATTTTCTTACGCCCTAAGACCGTAATACTTGAATACACCTTAAAAAACAACTCTCCTCCTAAACCTAATAACCCTAAACGATTTGGTGCGTGGTAAACTTGAGGTATACTTTTTGCGTGATTTAAATCTAACTCGATTAAAACTAACGTAATATTATATTAAACCGAAATATATTAAAAAAATCAAAACGAACATTCATTTGATGAAAGATTCATCTTTGGTACTTAACGATCTAGTGTCGTCAAACGCTTATACTTATTTTGGTGCGCTTAAAATCGAAGAGTAAAAGTTATAAAAAAAAAACAATGTGTTCGCTTACCTAACTGTCCTTTCCACCGATATACATAATACCCTAATTAACAAACTAAAACAATCCTACATATCAATAAATTCATTGACTAGCGAGAATCAATGAATCGGTAAGTCTTATTAATCGAAGGAATACTCACAAGACTTAGTCAATTTCTCCACTTTTGGTCAGTCTGTATTTCTATTCGTGAACGGCCATACTCAGAGACGACATTTTTTGGCTTAACTACAGTTAAATCAATTATGTGCCTAATGGACTGTTAATAGATAAGACTGAACTTCGCAAATATACAAGCTTATTATAGTATGGTGCAATCTTTTGACGTCTAGGAGTGGAAACGGCCGCTCTTGTCCTAATACAAATTAAGATGTTTATCCTTTTATAGCTCATTACATACTGAATATGAAAAACTAAAGCAAGTTTATTTATTGGATTCTTTAAGCGTATCATTATTCCCTATTCTAATGCTATCTGTTACTACTATGTCTGCTTAATGTTGTGTCTTCAGTAAGTTAAAAATACTATCACATAATTGTAATAAATTACAAAAAGGTGTATTCATGACACGTCAGCTACTATTAAACTGTCTTTGCGATAAGCTTAAAATAACTATCAAATTTTCGTGACAATTATTACCCGCGATAACTTATTGTACGAACTAAATGCACAAAAGAACCAGTTTTGCCTGCAAACTCTTAAAATATTATAAAGTTTCCGGACACAACTGCTATCATAAATCCGAGATATATATAGATATTATAATAATTAGGACCCTAATGCGATAACTTGGAACAACCATCATAATTTGTGAACCTCAAACACATACGTGAATCCCTTAAGAGCTTATACATAAGATGTATTTACTTTAATACTACAGTCACATGATCTTAATACTTTCCGACTGTTATCATAAATGTTCGTAATAGGTCATAACTACTATCACATGTTCGTTCAACGAGAGAACTAGCGCGTTCGCGTTACAACGACGTCTAAAAACCCTTAAAACGTCCGGTATAAATCAGACTGACGAATTTTTGATCCGTCAAAGAAATCTATTTATTTTAATACAAATTTTATTCGTCGAGACTAGCGGGTTTGTATTATACAATACCCAAAAACCGTTATCGCGTTTGCGCACGAAACTATCACATGTTCGAGAACATGTAGTAATCGGAGAACATCTCATCGCCCTGTCCAGAATCCTTCTCCGCCTGCCACCATTGGTTCTCCTTCTGAGCGTAGTCCTTCGGGGCGATCTTATTGGTCAAAATCTCGTCCAGGCGCGCGGTGGACGGCTTCTGATTGGTCACTTTGTATATGTGCTCCGCCAGGGCATTGGCCAGGGCGCTTTTGGGGGCCAATAGGGCGCCGTCGCACGCGAGCTCGTTCGGCGACGCGATCGTTTTCAGCCTATCGGCGTTCAGGCGGGAGAAGGAGGCGCGCGAATCGCGATTCGTTATGTTGCGGAACGCGTGCTGATTGGTTTGATTTTCGCGCGGCGCGTACGGCTCGTATGTTATCCGGTAGTTGGGTTCGGGTGGGTTAGTGGGGCCGTGTTGTACCTTGGTGCGCTCGCTGATGGCGCCCTCTATGTCCAGTTCGTCGTAGTTGTTCAGCGGGGTGTTCTCACCGCTGATGATGCTGTGCAGGCTGCTGGACTCTTCTAGAAGCGAGTGCTTCACGATGGAAGGGGGCGAGAAGAGCACGGAGCTGTCGCCCGCCAGGGTCTTGCTCTGGAAGGGGTGATGTGATAATCAGCTGTCTGTACGTATGCTACTACTAGAATACAATAGGGTGTCGTTTCATGAACAGGAAATATTGTAAGATAGTGATATAAGAGTAGTATTATACATAGTTTGTTTTATTAATTTTATTGTTGAGTGTTTTTTGTGCATGTTGTGTTTTTTGTGCATGTTGTGTTCGCTCATAGAAGAACATTCACTTGCGGGTTAAGTTCCGTATCAACTTTATCTGTGTCCATTATTCTATAATGTGAGTGTAATGTTCGGTTTGCGATTAGAAGTGGTTTTGAATCAATTGAGTGCTCATGTGTTTGGATTTATGACTCTATGTGTCCTTGTACAAGCGCGTGTATTTGCAAAAATGTGACCGAATATAAAAGAGTGCATTTTTGTATACGTGAGGGCGTATATAGTTTTTTACTGGTTGATTCCCGCGAACTCGTATTTGTTATTTCTTAAACCTTTAATAACCTTACATTATATGGAGATATAACAATATTTTTTTATAAACAAAGGCCTATGTAACTCCGAAGTACGAAGTGTTACGAAGTAACACTAACTAACTTAGAAGTGTAAAATAAAATCTATACAGTAATTTTGCCGTGACGCGCGCACAAAGGTAGACCTTTTAAACGTATACTAAATTATAAATAGTAATAGTTTATTTATCAAAATTGGGAGCAATTTCATACAAATTTCATTCAGACATTCCTACGTCCGCTTCTTGAGTGTGGGTGCGTGCGCGTGTGCGTGTGTGTGTGCGTGCATGTCTGCTTGCTCACCGGCGTCTCGACGATGAAGGACACGTCGGGCACCACCACGTGGGCCGCGTGGGCCGCGTGGGCCGCGTGGGGCGTGCTGGTGGCGGCGCCCCAGCTGGTGGCCAACGCTTTGCGCGCCCGCTTGTGCGACGGTATGTTCTCCTTGCCCCGCCTGGCGCTGCCTATGCCGGAGTCATTGACCTGTTGGTGGGACGGGGTATTTTTAAAACACGTTTTGCAGAGCAGAATCATCTTCTTAACTTGCCACAATCCAAAGAGTTTGACAATCCTTTTGGCAAAATGTCCTTTGACAGCTGATTAGTTGAGTTCTACGGTGATCAGTGTTACAGAAGCCGAGTAAATCTATCTTATTATCATAACATCATTAAGTTTTAACTTAATATTTCATAAATAAATAAAAAGTCCAATCGCATCGATTCAGAGGTGTCATAAAAAAAAAACAATTTTCTCTTTTCCAATTCCTTCATACAAGACAAAATTACTATCAAAGTTATATCGTTGGAATCTTATATATAATTATATTATAATTGACGACGCAAATGGCGTAGTTGCACCTGAGGGTGTGGATTCGATCCAAGGGTATTTTTCCAGTGTCAAAATAAAATAATGTTTATAAATTATGCAGTATCCAAAGTAAGAGCGTTGGTTAGTTTGGGACTGAAGAACGTTGTATAAAAAACTACCTTTTTAGGAAAATTATGATTTCAATTTTATGTCAGAATACGACCTTTTTCTACTCTCATTAAAACAGGCCGCTTTTTGAGAGCTACATAACGTATACTTCGGTGTCTCACTCGCCCCCACGCAGAATTATATTTTTCAAATAGCTAGATCACTCAGACATCTCTAAAGGCTCGATTGCGTCCCGAAACATGTTGCGATATTCAACCTGAGTGGTGGCGGCGTCCTGGTCTGCGGCGGAGGAGAGCATGGAGTCGCTGAGCTGCACCGTGCCGTCGGAGTTCTCCTCGCGCTGGATCATCTCGGTGATGTCCTCGACCAGCAGGCCGGGGCTGGAGGGCTCGTACCTCAGGCCGGACTTCTTGCCCAGCTCGGCCATCGCCATTTTGAACGGGGTGGGCGTTCTGCGAAAACGGATGCGTCGTATTAACACTTTTAGTGTGGTGCTAGCCGCGATGTTCGATTAGACTGATCCGAAAAGTGTTTATGTATTTTGTACGCTGTAAGGACATTTTTAGATACATAAATTTCACGCGGACAAACGCCAAACGGACAGACGATGGATACAATCCGTGAAATAATTTAATTTAACCTTTAATGAAAGCAATTTAAAGCTCACTTGGGGGTAATGCTGCGCAGCTGACTTCCCCCCGGTGTGATGTTGGCCGGCGTGGGTGTATGCAGCAGTGGACTGGCGCCCCATTCCTGAAATTAGTGATATTTTACATCTTTATTATTTCGGGTATTTTTTTTTCTTACTTTACAGTGGTAGGGCCACGGAAACAGTCCTCGCTGTTGCACGAATGGGCAGGTCCGTCCGGGTAAGTACCACGACCGGCGCGAAGTGGAAGTTTTACACTTCTGCGATTCATCCGGTGAGTGCGGTAGCCGGGGCCCACTTTATTAAAAGATAGCAACGCACATAAAAAACTAGAAAATACGCGAACACCACACTCAGTTAAGTAAAACAATTACATGAAACGAAAAGTCGGAAATTTAAAAACTGAAAACGCGACCAAATCCGTAGAACAGTTTTATATAACTATAATTATTAATGTGAATTTAATAGTAATCTATTAATATGTCGATTGCCACTTAATTGTAATTTGGTATATATTTTTATTCATTGATTACAAGTTTTACACTTGGCTATCTTACTAGGCAAGTAAAAAAAACATTCAGTCTTAAATACATGTTAATAAAACTCTGCTTGCCAATTGTACGGATTTCGTGTAGTGCGCCCGCATGAAATTAGCGTGTTTTTCTCCCAATGTATTTTTATTACCTTGGCGTGGGTGCGAAGGGGCGTGGAGTCGAACGGCGGGAAGGAGATGCCCGCGGGAGAGTTGAGGAACTGGGAGGGGCTGAAGGGGAGAGCCTTTATCGGCGTCACCCCACTTTCCCTCGACTCTATCGCCTTCTGTATCGCGTCCGACCACGACTGGAATGGGCACACGTGCAAATATGTTATTAATCGACTCTATTGGCATAATCAACAGGGGACCTCTTGCGCCTCAAGGTGTTCGATCCCCACTTCTAACTATTGTCATAGTCTAGTATATTTTTTCTAGTATCTTGGTGTCTATACAACTATATCACGTATAAATTTACAAAAAGGAAAGTATTGCTAGAAATGCAATAGAATGATTTCGCACCGTGAGGTCATCGGCCACTTAGCTTAGTTGGTAAAGCATAAGTGCGCGAAACGACGCGAACGTGAAGACGTCATTTATCTACAAAAATTTATAATTTTAAAATTTATATCTAAAAGGAAAGCATGTTTAAGTATGTTTATCAGTTACCTGGCACCCATAGAATAAGCTTGATAAGTTTGGGGCGACTGTGATTACTTCGTTGACGCAAGTGACAAAGTTATTACAAACGAGTTATGTAAAATAAGGGTAGTGTAACTATAAAAAAAAAACTATGATTACTTCAATGCATTTGCCAAAATTAAAGAAAAGTCAGTAAATACAAATGGATTATGGGAAAGGACTGTCGATACAATACGTCGACTCACATTGGTGTTCGTAGCGATGAGTTGGGACTTCTTCACCTTGCCCCGCCTGAGGATGGGCGGCGGACTGCTCGAGTCCACGCTCTTCTTTTTCGGCGAGACGTACACCGACGGCACGATTATCTCCTTACTCGCGTCCGCTTCCATCGCGTAAACTGGAACGTGACATTATTATGTCATATGTACGTGTATGTGTGTACATATATCCATGACTATGTGTGTACATGCGCACGCTCACGCACACACACGCACGAACACGCGTGTATATGTCATTATTATTATGATATATGTGTGTGTACATTTATTATCTATTTCTATGAACCCACGCACCCGCACGCTCACACAGGCGAAAACACTCGTGTATGAGCGTGTATCATACTATATTTATCATTGTATTTTCATCTCATACTATTTTTATCTCAATCGAATAATTATAATATGCTTTAAAGCCACTGCACCTTTTATTAAATATTTTTCTTTTAAAAACATTATATACCTCTACTATAGCCATATTTGTCTAAAATTAGTGGTCTAAAGTTTTTGTCTAAAGGCGTTTTACAAACTATTAAACTAGGACTTTTACTTATTTATTTATGCTTTTATTTTTTAGTGTGCGTGGAAAATATCTCGGGCTTACGTGAGGTGGAAATACTGTTTTTTCGCGTTTTGTGTGGAGAGTGAGGTAACCGGTAAAACAGGTACTGTTATATATCCATGTGCAGCAGTAATCACGTATCATGTGAACCGCCAGCTAGTTATGCTATCACATAAAAACAAATATTTTTTATGCAAATATAACGCCCGGTTTCTGAAACACTGGTCATCGTACATGTTAACTAATCAGCTGGCTTTTCAAATGTCATTTTAGTTGCCAAAAAGATGGTTAAAGTCTTTCAATTGATCATTTTGATCATTAAGAAGATAATTCTGATCAATACAGTGTCTTTAACCATCATTTTGGCGACTTAAGTAACGTTTTAATTATTGAGCCGTCAAATAAAAAGATCTATGCACCAACAGACGTTATTGGGCGTAATCGTAGTAAAACAAAACGAGTGTCCATAATTGATTGGACCGTTGTTACACAGAACTCTCTTCTTTGGTGTGGGTTAAAATAACGGGTTGTGTATGAAATCAATGTATGACATAGTTTACCTGTACTCTGACTGTTATTGTCCGAAGCGGCGGTTTGCGTTAAGAAATTCTTAATTGGCGAATCCGACGGCAGAGATTCGATGTTGACGTATCTGTAATAAGAGTACTACAGTTGTATATTTCATATTTTATAGTGGCTCCTAGGAAACTCTAAAAATGAACGTGACAGTATGAAATCGAAAAATACTTTGAAATTTAATATCGTATAGGAGGCCACTAACAATGAACATGGGGCGAAATTGTGTGCAAGGTATAGTTTATTATACCTTTGTTAATAAGTACATACAACTGTTTCAATTACGATATCCCATCCAAACCAGATGAATCCCAGTTTTGGAAAAAACTTACTGGGACCGCATTGAGTATTCAAATATTCACACGTTACTGAGATTGACTTTACGTTATTCGACAAAGAATGTGCACACTGCAGCATCGACGGGGAAAACTATTAGACTTGTGTGGAAATTGTGAGGAATTTTTGAGGAAACTTCCATATTTTCGAAGTGACAAAAAAAATAATGTATGTAATGTGTAAAAAAAATATGTGAAGTCCGCCAATCCTCAGTGGTGGGCCGCGTGGTAGTCTATACCCTGATAGCCTCTGTACAGAGGCCTTTGCCCAGCAGTGGGACATAAATAAGCTGTTAATTTACATTAAATGTGCAAATGACGCTCACTTGAACGGCGACTCGACGATCTCCACGGTGTCGGCGGCGACGAGGGCGACGGAGTGGGGGGCGTGGGAGGCGGAAGAGGGGGCTTGGGCGCCTTGTGCGGCGGGGTGGGGGGCGTTTGTGGCGGAGTGGGGGGCGTTTGTGGCGGAGTGGGGGGCGTGGGGGGCGTGGGGGGGGCGTGGGGGGCGCCGTGCGGGGAGGCGGGCCGCGCCTGCTGGAGGCTGTTGAGCTGATCTTTGAGCAGCTGCCTGAAGTGCAGCACCTGCTTCGAGGCGGGCTGGCTCGCGGCGGACGAGTTGCTCTGGGCCGACTCGTTCAAGGGCTCGCTCCAGCTCTGTGGGATTCGGCGGTTACGATTCAATGCGGGCGTGCGTTTCAACGTTTTATTGATCGATTTATATGATTGTAACATCGAGTTACACAGTGTGTATTTCATCGGGGAGTTTTACGAGTTTTGTTATTACACAATTTTTAAGTTGTCTGACCGTAACCATAGGAAGGTAGGTAAACAGAAAAAGACCATTGCTTTCACCGTCTAATCGGCCCAAAAACTTAGTAGTTTTTAAATTAAACTTAGAAGTTTATTTTATGTTTAGTTTATTTATTTTTATTTTATGTCTCATAATACGTTGTATTGATGGGTACCCACACTATATAACAAACAAACACAAAGCACGGTAGACCCCATTAAGCATAGTAGTGTAAGCTATTGACGCTAATTGATCGTTTTAAAATCCTAACTTATTTAGATACGTCAATTATTCACAAACGTCTTTTCGAGTCAATTTCTTGATTTTTAGATCTTCATCCCCTTTTTGGATCTCGCAGTTTTGCCAGTGAGGGGAATTAATACTGGATTAAATGGATTACCTTTTATTCCGCCCATTCGTCGCTCCCTCTTCACGTCTTAATTGTACCAATGGACTCTACCTTTGCAACTACCCAGTCTCTATTTTAATACACTAGTGATGGTGCAATCTATCGTAAGCCAAGTGAACGATAAAATGATAAAGTGTAAATTACCACAATTAAAAAATATGCTAGTTAATACAAAGAAAACTCCAGAGTCTATAACTCACAACACAAATACCATGTCACTAGCAGTAAAAAAATAAGGGAGTATGAAAACATGATATATCACTATTCACACTATAAAGCGATTATAAAGGATGGTGAAAAAAATTAGCAATGGAAAAATGCTCAGAATACGAAATGTGTGCAAAATAAATCAGATGAATCAATTTAATAGACAAAGTTAATATAATTTTTTAGGCGAGATTTCAAACTCTACCAGTAAAAGTAGAAGTTCTTTTCATAGTCCGTTTGATCTCTAGTACTTTACAGATTTTATCTTGTTCAGCATTTTATGCAAAATAAGCTTGCAACATATATATCTATATGTAATAATGATGAGATTTATTTAACAGTTGTATTTTTATATGTTGTTATTTTACATTTATATGATAAGAGAATGAAATAAAAAGTAAAGTAAAGTAACAGCCAATACATGTCCCACTGCTGGGCAAAGGCCTCCTCTTTACAGAGGGTATCAGGGCATAGTCCACCACGCGGCCCCACTGCGGATTGGCGGACTTCACATATCTTCGAAATATTATTGTTTGTTATTATTTCGAAAATATGCAGGTTTCCTCACGATGTTTTCCTTCACCGCGGAGCACGTGATAAGTCAGCACTTAAAGTTAAAAACTTCATTGGTGCCGGCACCGGGGATCGAACTCAGGTTGCTCGAGTATATTGAATTAAAGGCGAGCGCCCGGACACTGAGCTATCACGGCTCGTATGAAATAAATTTGTAATAAATAAATAATGTACAATTTATTACAATTGAGTTTTAGAAGTGCCGATGAACTCTCGATAGATTAAATTTAACACACATTAAAATGATAAAACGATGACTTGTATATTGCTTCGGTAAATTACATTAGTTATTTAACTAACAATGACATCAAGTTGTTGATTGAAAGCATATAATAATGTTTTTGGTTTCAAAAAAATTAAGCATACCTAAGCAATAAACAAATGATCCAACCGTGAACATAAAATCAATTGAGAGCCATTATGGATTTATTAAAACAAGAAAAATTATATTCGGATTATAATATTAATTTAAAAGTAATCTCAGTAGTCAGTTGCAGTTAGATTGTAATAATATCATATATCTATCAATAAAAATTAAATGACATAGGACCAAGGGAAAAAGATTAGGTAAGTTATCATTTTAATAGGGAATATTATTTCAAGTAAAAAAGGTAGTCAAGAGAAATTCAGAGCTGTCACAAATAATAAATTAAACTTAAAATAGGGCTGTCAAAACTGATTATTTTAACTTAAAATGGGACTGTACAAAACTAGTAATTATAGTTAAAAATAGGGTTGTCAAAACTCGTAATTTTTATGAAGTTGAATATCTGAATTAGATACGTGGCAATTGATAAAAATCCATAATCGCACTCTGATGGAAAGCGAAAAGCCAAACCACTAACATCGTTATAAGCGACTTGCACTTTCTTCTCGGCGTCGCGTTCGTTATTAACGCTACTATCGCTATACAAGGCGAGCCTGCCCGGCTTTACCCGCGCTTGCTTCCGCCGAATGTTCTCGAAGCTGTCCAGCAGCTCCGGCTCGTACTTGCGCCGCATCGTCGAGTTCCAATGGTTCTTTATCGCGTTGTCCGTCCTGTGAATTGCATTTATCGTCTGTTCATTAACAATATCTTTAAAAAAATCCGATGAGAATTCTAACACGGCTAAACAGTCTATTTTGGCATAAAGATCTTTTATGCCTTTATAAGGTTTTTTTTTTTCAATTAACAACTGTAAAAAACCTATACATAGAAGTTTATAGCGCTTTCAAACAATTTCGTTTATTTTCAATAAAGTAAGACTTTGGCATATATTATGTATTCTAAGATTTACGACACATGCCAATGTGTTTGTTGTTTGCGTGTTTTTATTTTTCTTCGACGTTTACTTAGGTAAACTTTTGAATATTATTCTTTCTATATCAGACAAGAATTTAGATGCACCTTAGGATAAAAGCAGTTTTACTTTAAAAATCTAGTATATTTTTAAATTTAGCGTCATCTCACCTGCCAGGCAGCAGCTTGGCAATTTTCGCCCACTGGTTGCCAAGTTGCTTGTGCGCCTGATATATTACTCTATCCTCGTGCTCCGTCCACGCTGTTTTCTTTATTGAGGGGTTCAAATGATTGTGCCAGCGCTCCCTGGAATTTTAAGAAACATCGCGTTAGAGTTGCATTTCTTACGAATCTATTCAGAACGGGCTACCCTGTAAAATAGATGTATTAATCAGTACATTATAATATAAGCGAATGATGATTTCCCTATCAGATCCGAGGATTTAGTGGAGCTTGATAAATAACCTTTCTGGGGTCGGTTAAAACTTATTAACTGCGCATAAAGCAGAGGCATTTCCATATGAGTGTTTACGAATTAATTAATTAATTTATATATAACCAACAAAGTATACAGCCAAAAGAGAATTATATAAGAGGTTTATAAAAAAGTGATAAGGGGTACTTTAATTATAAGTAAAAGCAACTTTTTACCAGACCAGAGAGATACAACTTAAAAAAACAGCATTCTTGATACAAACATTAAACTAAAATTACAATAAAAAAACAAGATAAAAATTCATATGACAAAGAAAATTTAGTGTTTAGAGGCTTTCTCTAAGCCAACTCATCTCCAACGGTCGTCCAATTAATGACTTAAAAAAAGCAAAATGGTATTTTCTACAACTACCCTCTACTAATACCCTCTGTACAGAGATGGCCTTTGCCCAGCAGTGGGATATGTATGGGGCGTTACTTTACTTTCCTTTACTTTTTACCCACCTGCATTGCTTCCCTATCCTGCCTTTCAAATGCCTCGCAATTAGCGTCCACTTCTTCGGCCCGTATTTCCCCACCAGCTCCATGACTTTCTCGTCTTCCTGATAATCAAAGAAATATAGACACTCTAAAATATTTTTCATTATATTCGCATGATATTGAAACAATTGGAGCTTCCGCTTAACTTCGCGTATACCATATCATCTGTATCGAATGATTTTTTTATTTTTCATTTCTTATTTCATTTTTAATGTTAGTGCAAGTTTCTGCACTTAAGACAAAAATTAAAAGTATAAAAGACATTTGCTACACCCCTACGGTTATATATGCGTTGCCGCCTTTAATAAAGTGGGCCCCGGCTACCTCACCAGACAAAACGCAGAAGTATAAAACTTCCACCTCACGCTGGTCTTCTGCGAGGTCGTAACACTTACCCGGACGGAGCTGCCCATTCCTACAACAGCGACGACTGTTGCGTGGCCCTACCGCAATAGATAAAATATACATATTTCGAAGGAATTTTAAGTATTCCAATCAATCCGCAATGGAGTCGCGTGGTGGACTTTGCCATAAAACCAGACCTATGCAGACGATAGCGACAATAGATAGGCTGTTGTAATTTGTGTGGAAGGGCTTGGGTAGCAAGTCTCAGCGACATGGATCTATTATTGTAGTCTTCCCTTCAAAAACATTACCCCTTACTGAAGGATAACATTATCCTGTGTATATAACAATTATCTGTGGATCATGCAAACAGTTGTTTCGTGTGGGAATCGAACCCACGACGCTGAAGCCAATACCTCGGCAACTGCGGATACATCAGCCATAGGCTTAAGGCCCTGTACACATTTTGCCAACGCATTGGACCAATGTGCAGTGGGCTATTTTGCGAAACGTTTGTGACAAATCGTAGTTGGCGCGAACGTTGGCCGACAGGCTGAATCGTGTCGGTTTTTTGAGCAAACATCAAAGGAGCGCCATTGCACAATGTGCATTACGCAATTGTGTGAACAGTTACACACCGCGAACGCAAACGCTTTGACCCAATACGTTGCCCCAATGCGTTAGCCCAATGCGTTGGCCCAATGCGTTGGCCCAATGTGTACAGGGGCCATTACTACTTTCCGACTTCAAGACGTGAGACGGCGTATCAGCTGATCGCGGGCGCAGTTTTTGTCCGCCCACTGACCGGTTCACCTTGCGTCTCAACGTATTTTCACACGCCGTAAGCGTCGGGATGGCATCGTTTTTATTGTCGTCGAAGCCATTGATGTTATTGAAATGATGTAGGTGTATTAGGTGCGGTCGAATCGGCGTGCGAAATTATTAAAGGGGCCCCACGGCGCGACACGTCGGTTGATTCCTTTTGCCGTTCCGTTCGCGTAGGCGAATCATCGTAAAATTTATAGTGAAAACCATAGTTCTAATATATAGTTCTAATATATATATATATATATTTA